GTCTAAATGGTTCGTCCTATTTAAATATTTGAAGATAAAATGTTAATTTATATGGAATTGTATTGTAAACAGACACAACGCTTAGGGTGAAATATTGTTTCTTAAATAATTTGTTCCGTTTTCAGGATTCATATTTTACATTATAAAACGGAGACCGAGAAATCGTCATTACGGGTTGCTGTCACAGCCGCAGGCTTTCGATGAAATTTAATCTCAACGCATTGCAATGTGACATTTTAATGAAGGTCACAAGTCAGAAAATTTCAAGAAAGTTAAGAACGAAAAATATCACATTTGAAGCGTTGGTTATTTTATGATTATTTTTTTAAGAAACAAAGAGAAGTTGATGTTAAAGAAAATAGAGTGCACATTTTCTAAATCGGTTTTCACAAAATAGTAAAAACATAAAAATTGGCAAGGGAGTACTGAAGTTAATACTGATGCCAACTTCATTAAAAAAGTTACGGGTATTTCATTTTGTTTAGCAACATTACGACTGAGAGAAACTGGATGTGGCTGAAATAATTGTATTTCTAAAATAATAGAGAAACACGGAGGCCTCATTATCACAAGGTCACAAAATAATAGTATCTAAAAGGAGCTAAAGAATAGAGAAAATATGTGTAAATATAAATATATACGAGGTCACGCCAGGCTTGCTAGCGTAGTTGGTTAAAGCTGACTGCGTGGCGACTGGGTGACAAACCCCTTGTGGTCCGGGTTCACGAATGGAGGTAGGCAGAAAAGCCACATTTCTCCCAGATTTACGGTATCTATCATGGAATCAAAGCCACAGGGTTGCGATATCCATAGTACCGAGCCAAAGGGCTAACAACTCATGGTTTCTGGATATATATTTTAAAAAAAAAAGAAGAAGAAAGTACACGGTCACAGAATAACAGTTTCTGAAAGGAGCTAATGGATGGAGAGAATATATATAAATATAAGTATATGCTCGCTCACAGAATAACAGTTTTCAAAAAGAAACTAATTGATGTAGGCAATATATAAATATATACACAATCCCACAATAACAGTTTCTAAAAGAAGCTAATGAATGAAGGGAATATATATATATATATATATATATATATATATATATATATATATATATATATATATATATATATATATATATATATGAGAATACAGGTAGAGGCAGTCACTATAGCTTTCTGCTGGCTTCAGAACCAGCTACACACACACACACACAGACACACACACGATGTGATTGTAAGCGATTCACAGAAAGGTGTAGACATGCGTGCTCCCAACAGAGTGGCAGGCATTGCTTCAGTGGTCACGCATGGTTGCCATTCTTTAGATATGTTCTCTAGGGTATGCGGGAGTGTTAGGAAACGAACAGTCAGATAGATTAGTTGGTTCTACACCATGGGATGGTGAAATTATCTACGACAAGCTAAATCTGATCAAGGACCTTCGGAAGCAAGTGAACAATGCGGAGGCAACATCTGTGGCTTAGATGTTGCGAGCGCGCTCAGTAATCCCGGAGTGCCAAGTTCGGTCCCAGCCACCGGAGATTTGACAGCAGATCGCATTGCTTTCATTTCCATGGAGTTTTTATTGCGGGCCGACTGTTGAGTCGGCATTGGAAATTACTGAACGTAACGCTGTCTAGGGACAAGATAAATTCCCCCCGCCCCCCACCCACCCTCTCATTGTAATGCCTGTAAGCTACACACACACGCACGCACACACACATACACACACGTACACACACATGCACACACACACATATACACACATGCATACACACACACACACATGCATACACACACACAAACTGGGGCATCGAGGGGATAGAACTATTAGCTGTTTGTTATTCGTAGAGGTAATGCTTCTCACTACCTTTTCTGTCTGTATAAAATACACATTGTGTAGTATGGTCAGAAGCTCTTTGAGTTTGAGGATTTAGGGTCGTATGGGGAGCGCTATCGTTGCAAACTGTGCAGGTTAGGAATGTATCCCTCCCCCTCACACCCCCCCCCCCCCCCCCTCCATTGTGGACAAAACAAAATTACCAAATTTACCAAGAATCTGAACCTGGTTCTTACAATGAAATATATAAGTTCCGAGTTTCTAAAGGTTCAACAAACCACCCTGGTCTAATATTGTCAGTATCTTTTCTCCGGGGAATACCGGTGTGTTGGAAAATGAACAGGCGGATAGACTGGCTGGCTCCGAAAAACTTGGTTGAATACTGTTGAATAATAAGGCAGGTGTGGTCAATGCCTTGTAGATGGATAATCACAGTCTAGTGAGGAACAAAACAGAGGAGCAGATGGATAATCACAGTCTGGTGAGGAACAAAACAGAGGAGCAGATGGATAATCACAGTCTGGTGAGGAACAAAACAGAGGAGCAGATGGATAATCACAGTCTGGTGAGGAACAAAACAGAGGAGCAGATGGATAATCACAGTCTGGTGAGGAACAAAACAGAGGAGCAGATGGATAATCACAGTCTGGTGAGGAACAAAACAGAGGAACAGATGGATAATCACTGTCTGGTGAGGAACAAAACAGAGGAGCAGATGGATAATCACAGTCTAGTGACGAACAAAACAGAGAAGCAGATGGATAATCACAGTCTGGTGAGGAACAAAACAGAGGAGCAGATGGATGATCACAGTCTGGTGAGGAACAAAACAGAGGAGCAGATGGATCAACACAGTCTGGGAACAAACAAATCAGAGGAGCAGATGGATCATCACAGTCTGGTGACGAACAAAACAGAGGAGAAGATAGATCATCACTGTCTATTGACGAACAAAAGAAAGGAGCAGATGGATCAACACAGTTTGGGAACAAACAAATCAGAGGAGCAGATGGATCATCACAGTCTGGTGACGAACAAAACAGAGGAGAAGATAGATCATCACTGTCCATTGACGAACAAAACAAAGGAGCAGATGGATCAACACAGTCTGGGAACAAACAAAACAGAGGAGAAGATAGATCATCACAGTCTGGTGAGAGTGATGCAGCAAAGAGGGACAAGACGATCTGGTCGACAGTCGAGGCTCAAGAGAAAGGCAAGAAAGACGTATATTTAGAGCGCTACTGGCATCATTGGTATTGCAACTCTGCGCCGGCTGCTGAAGAGTGGGACAGAGAGGTTATGGACATGCCCGCAATGCAGTGATGTCGGTTCTTAAATCAGCTTTAAACTATAAATCAGCTATCTTGTTAGTTACGTGTAATTTAAAAAAAAAAAAATAGTTCCTGATCGATGTTTCATTAACTGTTCCTGACACCAAACCGAAGAGCCAGAGAAATCAAGTGAAATTGAAGACACCCGGGGTGAAGGGAATTAGAGAATTTGGTGAACAAGCTGAAGAGGTCAGTGACAGAGCTGCACGAAATGGCAAATGGTTTGTAGGCTTAGATGAATATCTATGCTGTGTTGGAAGAAGAAGAGGAGGAGGAGGGGAAGGTGAAGAAGAAGAAGAAGAAGAAGAAGAAGAAGAAGAAGAAGAAGAAGAAGAAGAAGAAGAAGAAGAAGAAGAAGAAGAAGAAGAAGAAGAAGAAGAAGAAGAAGAAGAAGAAGAAGAAGAAGAAGAAGAAGAAGAAGAAGAAGAAGAAGAAGAAGAAGAAGAAGAAGAAGAAGAAGAAGAAGTTTGTTGCCTTTCCTCTACAGGCCGTTGCTGAATCAATCCCAAAATTTTTTGGCTGTAGTGACTCTCTCTCTTTCTTTAAATTGTACGTCTAGTAGTTTGCCTTTGCATTCTGAAAGGCAGCCTTCTTGATACCACTGTCGAAACCAACGCCAGGCGCGAGGCCCGCAGTTGGGATCGAACCCGTCTCATCGGCATTGCAAAGCGCGTTCTCGACGCCTAAGCCGCAAACGCCGACAGGACATTTAACAGTATGGTAATGTAATTTGTCACTGGATACCAGAAACCATTATGAGGACATCGGTGTAACTCTATGATGTCAGAACCCATTATGAGGACATCGGTGTAACTCTATGATGTCAGAAACCATTATGAGGACATCGGTCTATTTCTATGATATCAGAAACCATTATGAGGACATAGATGTAACTCTATGATACCAGACACCATTATGAGGACATCGGTGTAACTCTATGATATCAGAAACCATTATGAGGACATCGGTGTAACTCTATGATACCAGACACCATTATGAGTACCATTGGGAGTAGGTCCCTTTTTATACACAAGTTTATTGGGCTAGTCGACTTTCCTCAATGTTATGTTATGTTATGTTATGTTATGTTAGTTTCAGCTTCATAGAAAACGGATCACACCATAGTTGGATCGCTCCTGTGTCAACGAAAAACACACAGAATGTTCAACACAGTCCCTTGTGGCGAAAATGACAGAATGCTGTTCCGCATATGCGCTAGCATACACACGCATTAAAAGCATACGGTAGCTATCAGAAGTGCTAACACAAACAGTCCGACATTAGAAATACAGTTCATCATCGACGGTAGCAGAGGTAACCAACAAATTAGCAGTTGCACACGCGATCAATTTTAATCACATAAGGGCACTACCAATATTTTGACGACAGGCCACGCACCCTTTTCTGAATCTACAATTCACAACACAACACCACGGTGGTCACAGTCGAAAAACATTCCATATGAAATCCGCAGCTCACAGCAGGGTCGCACCACACACTCAGCTAAGTAGCTGGGCGACGAAACTACATCCTTTCAGTCTACATATGAAGCAAAAATGCAAGTGCCACCGTCTGGCAGAAGCAAAAACTTTGTCAAGACTCGAAACAGTGGACGTGCCTAGCGTCGAAGGTTACCAATTCTGTCTGAATTCCATTGTTGGGAAAAGAAATAGGATATATGTTATAGAAACTAATAATTAAAACGAGAACTTCTTTGTGTGACTGGAAAAGGACGGACGGTTGCAGCAGGGATTAGTTCTTTGAATATTCATTAAATCATTCTTCTGTTCATTCACAAATATCCACAACAACAACACCAACAACAACATTGCTTACCATAGCCTGTGTGAACAGTTTATAAAAGAAACAACGCGGAATGTTGAAAATTAGAGAGAAGAGGAAAACCCCCAGAATGACTTTACGGGTCTTCCCGAAAGTGCAGAAGGATCGTGCTCTTAAGGGTCGTATCACAATTAAACATCTCTCTATGGTCACTGTAACTGTAGAAGAGAAGCCAAAACAGTAATTATTAATTTCATTTGGTTTGAGGTTTTAAACAACGGTGAGTCAGTAAGTCGGTTAGTAAGCCAATTAATGGGTAAGTCAATGAGTCAGTGTGCACATCAGGCAGCAAGTCAGTCAAGATCAAGTCTGTTACTCTGACAATCAGCAAATGAATGAGTCGGTCAATCAATCACTTACTGAGTCACTCCATGAGTCAACCCTTTAGGGGGAAAAAACTAATTAAGTAAAGCAAAAAATAAATCGATTAAAACATTTTGCTTCTTCTTCTTCTTCTTTTTCTTCTTCTTCTTCTTCTTCTTCTTCTTCTTCTTCTTCTTCTTCTTCTTCTTCTTCTTCTTCTTCTTCTTCTTCTTCTTCTTCTTCTTCTTCTTCTTCTTCTTCTTCTTCTTCTTCTTCTTCTTCTTCTCCTCCTCCTCCTTCTTCTTCTCCACCTCCCCCACCTCCTTGTTCTTCCTCTTTTTCTTCTTCCTCTCTTTTTCAGTTTATGTCTCTTCTTCTTCTTCTTAGCTTTCACTGGTTGTAAACTCTGACAGAAAATTCTGGTTGTTCGTCCACTTCTAAACTTTGGCCCTGGTTCTAGAAATTTACTTTTACGTGCACGTTCGTTTTCCAGATGTGACATAATGTGTGCACTGCCACTTGGAAGGAAAGACAGCGAGTGAGTCAGTCAATGTGTCGGTCAGTAGTTTGTGTCTGAGTCAGTCAATGTGTCGGTCAGTAGTTTGTGTCTGAGTCAGTCAATGTGTCGGTCAGTAGTTTGTGTCTGAGTCAGTCAATGTGTCGGTCAGTAGTTTGTGTCTGAGTCAGTCAATGTGTCGGTCAGTAGTTTGTGTCTGAGTCAGTCAATGTGTCTGTCAGTAGTTTGTGTCTGAGTCAGTCAATGTGTCTGTCAGTAGTTTGTGTCTGAGTCAGCAGAAAGTCAGTGTGTAAGCAGGACAGTGAATCCGTCAACCAGTCTGTGAATAGATCAGTCAGTCGGTAAGTTTGGAAACAGCCTTACCTGTTGTGTAGATTGACCCCGTCTGAGCCATGTACCTCAGCGGGTAACAGACGCCAAGCAAGATGGCGAACGCCTCGGCGTTCTTCGTGACGTCCATGAGACACGGCGGGATAGACGCCAGAAGAAACACGGCGTCATAGGCCACCAAGGACAATAGCAGCATGGAGGTGGGGCTCCACAACTTCCTGTTTGTCAGCACCACACCCGTGACCGTGTTCGTCACAAGCCCACACACCGTCAGGCAAATCCGGACGATGGTAAGGGCTGCGGCGATTGTTGGGTTGACTCCATTGGAGAACTCGTCCACGCTGCTCTGGTTGGAGTCGACGGTGGTATCCAGTAGCATTGTGTTGCCACAGCCGCCACTGGTATTGCCAACGCTGCCGCCGACGCCGCTGGCAGCTGTGATGAGGATCAAGGATGTTGAAGACAGTGTGGCGTTTGGTGTTTTACACCTCTATATTACAAATGTTTTGAGCTACGGCTCGGTCTATACGTTAATCTATTTAGTACACTTCCATCTTTTCATGCGATAGTGTTAAACTGTGCTGTACGAAAGCATGGGAAAGACACCCCATGGCGCTAGCGAATGCAACTAGCACAACCCAATCGCCTTCAGGAAATAATCAAATTAATCAGTTAATCTCAATTCGAACTTCACACAAACAGGACGCAACATAATCGCACTATTTTTGTACCGGCGAAACAATGACGAATGAATATGGTTGACGCTTGTGAAACACGTTTGATACAGAATGCAATCTCTGAAAAAGACATTATCTCATTTTGAAAGATAGTGTCTGATTACATAAAACAACTCGGAGTTCTCATACCTTGGTGGTCAAGCCGTTTGATTTTATATCGGTGATCAGTTACATGTAGAGTAAAATCATATTCTTCTTCTTCCTTGTTCACCGGCTGTAAGGTTTGGGAGGAAAGTCCTGGTTGTTCGTCCACTGAACTTTATCTTGATGCCAGAGCCTGAGATGTGTGTATTTTACAGGCTATTTGTGTGCAGATGGCTGTTCATTGCCTCTGGGGCAGATGCACTCCGACTTCGGAAGAAACCTCGTAACCCATTCGCAGAGTAAAAGCACCTGAACATGAAAATAAAGGAACTGAAACATCTAGATAGCAGAATATAGGAGAGGAAGGCGAGGAGACCACCAAGAGAGAGACGGATAAATAGTGTTGCTAAAACCTGTAATAAAAACCCATCACACAAGCCACGCGAGAAGTGGACGAAAAATACAGAAAACCACCACACCAAGAGTTCGCGCAAAAAAACTGTGCTAAGCGTTAAACTAATAATAAATACTTTTAGTATATCCATGATGGTACAAACATTCTGTTCATGTTAACTGATTTTTCGTTTAAAGCTAGTTCTCGTTAGCACGGTTTTACTGTAGTTGTTTCTGGATATCAATAGTTGTTGTCTTTATAGCGGGGGGAAAAGGGGGGGGGGGGGGGTGGTGATCCTTGTTTGTGTTTGCTAAATTAAACATTAAGAGTGAACTAGTTTGTTCTTTATCTGCCTTTCTTACCCCCAATGAAGCACAGGACCTCACAACACAACTAAAGCCAAATCGTTCTATCCTTCGCTTTCGCATGCAGCTTTCACCAGGTTCTCCCCATCTTTTTAACTTTTTATTCTAGCTCCCTTCTTCGTGTGTTTTTGGCCTTTCTTTATTCTTTACCCCTGTGGGTTCCAGTGCAAAGACTCTGTAGTTATATTGTTCTTACGTTTTCTCAAAGTATGTCTAATCCAACGCCAGCGTCCCTTCTTTTTATTTCTTGGTCCACTGGAACTTGTTTAGTTCTCTCCTAAATCTCTACATTAGTGATTTTATCACACCATTTAATTCCCTGTAATATGCGCTGGCACTAGTTAATTAATGTTTGTAGTTTGTTCTAGGAAAGTATAAACAAGTATTTTGTTTTCACAAATAGAGGTTTGCTGCAAAGTATTCACAATTGTCGTTGGGGTCATTACATGGTGAGATTCTAATCCCTTTGTCAGTGTGACTCTAGCAGTAGTCTACAAGTCATGACAACTGTCTTTTTCTCAATCGCTCAACAACCTGGCGTAAGAGCTTCTTATCTACAGAATAAGAGAATAATGAAATCAAACAGAAAGCCAAAAAACCGACACAAGACGATTACCATTTTATGGACAGACAAGAACACGCTATTTTTCTACGCGCCAGAATAGGACACAATCAACTTCGCAGCCATGTATACACACAATTTAGGCGTGGCGAATCAGCCATGTGCACATGTGGATTGGCACCTAAGACAACAGATCACATCTTTCAAGACTTTCCAAATACAACATATCAAGGCACTACATTTGGCCAAGAGAAACACCAAGCTTTACTGGTCGCTGACTGAATTACAAAAGACAGTGAAGATTATACTAGAGACAAATTGCAGACATAGATAATCTATTTAAAGCGAACGAAAGTAGAAGATGAATCGCTCACTACGGAAATGTAACTGCTGGACTCACTTAGTACCCAAAAAAGGCCACTATACTGTTTTGAATCAGTAAAAAAGGAAAGGGATTCTTTTCCACCCCTTCATGCGTATTCTGGATTTATAGCTCAAGAGCTCTATTTTGTGGACATAATCGATAGTCGGTGAGTGATGTGGTCAGCATCAAACCGGCCGCCTTTTACTTCCCAGGACTTGACTTTTAAGTTTGGGCTGATCTGGTATCCAAGGTCACTAAAAAAAAGTCTAGCTTCTTTCGAATTCGACCCTGGACGTTTGAACCTTCAGGCAAGGGACTTGCAGCTACGCCACCGCAGCCCCCTTCTGAATCTTTGCATAAACATTATTTTCTTTTTGTCTTCTTAAAAAGATGCGTATTCTATTCTTCTTCTTCTTTTCCTTCTCCTTCTTCTTCTTCTTTGTTCACCGGGTGTGGGCTCCGACGGAAAGTCTTGGTTGTTGGTCCATGTGGACTTTGGCTTTGTCTCAGGGCCTAAGTTTTGCCTGCACATCCGATTTACTGGCTTTTATTTTTGTGCATCTGCTTGTTCCTTACCGCTCGGGCAGATGCACTCCTACTTCAAAGGAAGCCCTATAATTAGTCGACTCCTACGACATGCTTGTGGGGGAGGCAGTGGGACTAATCTTGTACCCTCCTCCACCAGTGGGGCCATGGCACTAACACGGACAGAGTATTATATTAACCCTTTGTACTCAACAGTGGTCTAGCGGCTAGACGCTCGCCTGTGAATCAGAAGGTCGTAGGTTCAGATCCTGGTGTAGCCGGAGGTTTTCCGAAAATGACCTTGACCTCCAAGTCGATCCAGCCTAAAATATGTACCAGGTAAATCCGGGGAAGTCAAGGCGGTCGGCGTGATGTGGCAAACCGATTAGTCTATAAAATATAGGTTAATTAAATGTAAGCATGCTGATTGTTTCATAAGAAGCGGTGTCTGTTTTTGATATACTGCAGAAAAAAAAGGGCCAAATGAAAACCAGATGCCCTATGTGTCCATATCAACTGAAAGCATGGAAAAGAGTCCTTCACTTGCTAGATATGAGCTGAGCTACTTCTTTCCGAAACGTCTTTGGTGGACAGAACAAAGTATTTATTGCATCTGAAATAAGTTTAGTTGCGTATCCTTTACAGGACGATGCAGAACCAACCCTATCATATTTTGGCTGTTGTAGTTTCTATGAAAATTCACGTTCAGTAGTTTGAAATTGCTTTTAAACTGTCAGCTCTGCTACTAAATTGCCTGCACTTGGGGGTCGAACACGGGACGCCGGCATTACGAAGTACCTTCCG